GGGTAAACGTTCAAAATCAACAGGGGATCAAATACTTTTTCCCCCTCACTGTACATGTCATTATAATTCATATATCATATTTCAGTATATTTAATCAGAAAAAATAAATACGATAATAAGCAAAGAGCAAACAAAAGGATATAAACTATTCATTATTGATATATAATTTGACCTATATCAGAACTGCCAAAGTATACAAATCTGAAAAGGAATTATAGAGACTGAAAGCAATAGTATTTCAGGTTTTATGGGTGAATGGTCAGAACAAAATTAAAATTATAACAGATTTAGGATGGAATTTTTATTTCATTTTTGCTCAGAAATAGTTGATGGTTATTAAGACATAAGCAGCAACACATAGGAGCAATGCATATCATGTTTATGCTTTTAACTGAGTAAATGTGGTCAGAGAAATAGAAACATCAAGTACTATTCTTTTCATCTGCCAGAAGTGCAGATCATATTAATACTATAAAGAAAAGCAAAGGCAATTTTGCAAGCATTGCTCCATAGTAGTTCTCATAGGCATCAGGAACAAACAGAATTGTACAGAAACAGAACTGAGCAGCACGAAATGTTTTCATATTGCTTTGTATTGCTTTTGCATTTGAGAATTCATTTGATTTTATTTAGAAAGGTTTATTTGCTTCATGTTGGAATGGATTTACACAAATTTCAGATATATACAGATTGGATTTTTAAATGGAAATTGCAAATTATTTAAAACCCTGTACTAACACTCATTATAAATCCCTCAGCTGATAAAACTAAAGACTTTGAGATGGTTATAGATAAAAGATAAAAGCAAAAAAAAATATTCAGAAAACCAACTTTTGCATTGATAGGACATTTCCCCATTTACAGGACACAACACGATTCATTGGGACAATTAACAATTATGTATCTATTATTAATATTGTCATTTTTATAGCGCCAACAGATTCCGTAGCGCTTTACTATATTATAAGAGGGGGGATTTAACTATAAATAAGACAATTACAAGAAAACTTGCAGGAATGATAGGTTGAAGAGGACCCGTCTCAAACGAGTTTTCAGTCCAAGGAGGTGGGGTGTAATAATTCAAAACAACTGGTATAGGTGACTGATTTATCTCCTTAATCATTTGCTCCAAGTCCATAATCGTGCCTGTCCAGATCATAAAAAGATCATCCACAAAGCGGTAATAATGTTGGATGTAATGCCAAAATATGGGTGCGTTCAAAGGTGTACACGAAAGCTTTGGCATACGATGGTGCCATCGCCGCCCCCATCGCAGTTCCAGACATTTGTACGTAGAATTGACTTTCAAATTTAAAATAATTGCATGTAACAGGTACTCGATCAGTGGTCCTTCATATATTGTTGCCTCTGCAAGGATATCTCTCAAAGCCTGCACACCCTCCCCATGGGATATGATGGTGTACAGGCTCTGAACATCCATCGTGACAAGTAGGGATGTAGAGTCCACACATGGTGATGACTGAATTCTAGACATAAAATCTTTTGTGTCGCTTAGGCATGTAGGAAGAGCCGTAACGCTGTCGTTGATGTATTTAGCGACAGGTTCGATTATGCCATCCCTAGCCAAAACTATGGGTCTCCCTGGTGGTTGTAGTGGATCTTTGTGAATTTTCGGCAACATGTAAAGCACCGGGTGCTTAAGGTGTTTCACTATAAGGTATTGGGTTGTTCGAGTAACCAAATATTCCAATTGTGGCCCCAATTCAACATGGTTTTTAATTATTTTCTGAAATTTTGCCGTTGGGTCAAAGGTAAGTTTTGCATATACCAGTGTATCCTTAAGTTGTCTTACTATTTCCTTCCGGTATTGATCATATGATTGTATCACTCGGCCCCCTTGCCGAGTCGACAATATATGAAGGACCACCGATCGAGTACCTGTTAGAATTCTTAACTATTGCACTTACATGCAATTATTTTAAATTTGAAAATCCATTCTACGTACAATTGTCTGAAACTGCGATGGAGCGGCGATGGCACCATCGTATGCCAACGCTTTCATGTACACCTTTGAACGCACCCATATTTTGGAAAATTTGGGCATTACATCCAACATTATTACCGCTTTGTGGATGATCTTTTTATGATCTAGACAGGCATGATTATGGATATGGAGCAAATGATTAAGGAGATAAATCAGTCACCTATACCAGTTGTTTTGAGTCATCAAATTGATGAACAGTCAATTAAATTTTTGGATGTCACCATCTATAAGAAAGGAAACAATTTGGAATTTACTTTGTATCGTAGAAATACTGATCGTAACACCTCCCCTCCGCATCCAGTTTTCATCCACAACAAGTTAAAAAATCATTACCATAACATTGAGATATAACACGGAAACAGAAAAACTTAAAATTCAACTTGACGAGATGTGGGATAGATTTCGTGTGTGTGGTTATCATCCACATATTCTTCAAGTGGCACAGACCAAAGCTTTGGAAATTTGGAATCGAGAAAAATGGAATGATAAAACTGAGAAGGCACCGAAAGAACCAAAAATTTATCTTCCTATGACCTTTCATACAGGTACGTCGAAAGTAAGACAATCCATTCAAAAACATTGGGACATATTACGATCAGACAAGTCATTACCTTATACATTTGTGGATACTCCTGTCATCAGTTACAGAAGAAATAAAAATGTGAAACACCTTCTGGTGAAAAGTTATCCGATAATTTGTTACCGTAAACCTGAGATGATCACCAAGAAAGGGTGCTACAAATGTAGCAGATGCGTGACGTACAGTCACATGGTCAGTGGTACGACCTTCGTTCATCCCCACAGTGGTCAGAGAATTAAAATATCACATTATATTACTTGTACCACTGACCATGTGATATACATGATCACATGCCCCTGCGGACTCTCATATGTGTGCAAGACTGAGTTGACATTAAGAGAATGCATAAGGGCACATCGGTCGACCATAACTACAGCCTTTAGGGATCAACGCAGCGACAAGCCAGTTGCTAAACATTTTCTACACATGCAACACAGACTTCCTACATTACATTTTATGGCCATTGACCATGCCCCCCCGATGCACAGAGGAGGTGACCGATCGAAGAGGCTACTCCAGTGTGAGGCACAATGGATTTACCGGTTAGATACAGTGACAATGAGAGGACTGAATGAAAATATTGTGCTCTCCATGTTTCTTTAATACTATTTAGTTTTTTCTTTATTCTTAATTAGTACTTGACAAATAATTTTTCTGGGACGTTGGCAAAATCAAACATCAACCTCACCACCCTAGTGCACCCACTGATTGTGGGAAGGGGGTCCTAGACGCTATATCGATGAATCAATAAACTAATCACTTTTTCTTTTTTTTTCTTTTTTTTCTTCACAATCATTGAGACAAGGTATGCTTATTACTTTTTTTTTTTTAAAGCGTACATTAATACTTTGTACAAAAAAATTAAGTTTAGATCATGAAAGGCACACTATAGTACACCGATTAATTACAGCTTACTGTAATAGTTCTGGTGTCTACAGGCTGTTCCTGTAAGCATTTTCATGTAAAGGCAGAATTTTCATAGATAAGGAAGCATTTACATTGCCCCCAAGGGACATCTCTTGTGATTACCCCTAAGATGGCTACTCGAGGTGCTTCCTGGGGCAGTGCTTCATAGCAGGGCTGGTGCAAGGATTTTTAGGTACACAGGCGAAGATGATTTTGGTGCCCCCCCAAAGCATCTTCACCTGTGTGCCTCTTAAAGGACCACTATAGGCACCCAGACCACTTCAGCTTAATGAAGTGGTCTGGGTGCCTGGTCCAGTTAGGATTCTGAGAAAACTAATGTGCAAATGGAAGGAAAGCGACACCTGACAAAGTAACTCCAATTAATATTCCTGTTATGGCGAAGCATGACATTTGTAGTCATTACATTCCATTAGCACACCAGCGTCCTCAGGAACTCCTACGCAGAAAAGACAATTGGAAAGTGGCACTGAAACTACAATGACCGTTTAGACTAAGTGGAACATCCATGTTTATTAATCTACATATTTACAATGTTCCTTTTTCTTTTTATTAGAAGAAAAAATGACTAGGAGGTGTCTTGTAAATGGCTGCAAAAACAGTCACGTTAAAAAAAAAAAAAAACCTGACATGCTCATTGCATTGTTTTCCTAAGACTCCAGAGAAAATTAAATCATGGCTTTTGGCTACTGGTGACCATTTTGCGAATATTAACATGGTCATTCAGTATATCATGCTTGAAAAGAAAGCAAGCTATTTCAGAATATGCTCTGCAAATTTTTTAACAGAAATGTATCTTGATAAAGAAAAAAGATTAGTCCTAAAACCTGATGCTATACCAACAATCTTTCAAAAACATGTTTTATCGGTTGTTCATGATTTGCAGTTTAGTGAGCAGCAAAGCAGTACAGATGTTTTAATGTATGTCCAGACTTCAACAGCTGCAGTTGCCTCTGTCCATGTTGCAGATCAGGGTTCTTCTATGGTCTGACTATGTTTCAGGTTATTCGTATTTATTACCTGAAAAAAACATTTCTAACATCGGGACCAACACATACGCCATTGAGACATTGAATAAATGCATCTCTACCTCACTGTATTTTGGACGTAAGAATGCTTACACTCAAGCTGAAATTGTAACTTTGAAAAAACATGTTGGAACCTACACCCATGATTTGTGTAAAAGGTGGGATAATTGGACATGGACCGGTGTCCCTGAAGAACCTGTTGGAGCAGTGGATTACGAAAGACGACCAGATATTTTAATACAAGCAGAACCAGGACAAGAGACGTTGGATAATCCTAAAGAAACTGTGGAAATGGATATCACAGCTTCCCCCTTTATCGTATGCAGACCAGAAGTAGTAGATATTCCTTCTACTCCAATTTTTCAAATCTCAAGTATCCACAGGGAATCCGAAATGGAGTCCACTATTACTGTACTGGAAGATGAAGATCCATAGTACAGTCCAGAGGATGAGTCTACAGATATTGGAGAGCTTTCCTTTTTAACAGAGCCAACACCGGAAGATTACATTGCTGAAATTTTTTTTTATTGTTTTTGAGTCCTGTCTGAATAAACTGTTACAGACACTTGCACTTTTTCACCTCTGTTCTGCTCCGATTACTTATAGGGAGAATGTGGTAACGGGTACAATGGTAACTCTATACTCAGTGTGTGAAAGTAATCACCGCTGTGTACTTTGGCAAAGTCAGCCAATGATTGGCAAACGTCCGATCGGGAATATATTGGCAAGTTCATCAATACTTTTTAGCGGATCACATTTTGCTGAAGTCAGTGAACTTTTCCAAATTTACGGTGTAGATTTTATTTCTCAAGCGCTTCATTATAATTTACAACAAAAACTATTGTTTCCAACTGTTGATTTGCACAACAGAAAGGAGAGAAGGTATATAATTGATAGTCTTCGGGGGAAGGTGTTATGTCTGGCAGGAGATGGACAATGTGACAGCCCTGGTTATAATGCAAAATACTGCACTTACTCATTACTTGAAGACACCACAAAAAAAATGATTGAGTGCAATACTATTCAAGTAAGTGAATCCACTTCCTCTGTTGCAATGGAATCAAGGGCTTTCACTAGGAGCATGGATACTATTTTGTCAGAAAGATTGGTTATTGCCATCCTTGTCACTGACAAACATGTCAGTATTAGAAAGATAATGCGAGATAAATACACGTTCATTAACCATCAATTTGACGTATGGCACTTTTGCAAGAACCTTCGCAGCAAATATTAGCATACAAAAAATGTACAAAGAACTTGGTTGTTGGAACAAATCTATAATTAATCACAAGTGGAATGCATGTTCAACCTGCAATGGAGATATGGAATTGTTAAGAGAAAAGTGGAATTCTCTTTTAAATCATGTTATTAATCTCCATGAATCGAACTCTGGAACTCAATTCCATCGATGTGATCGGGACAACTTACTGACTCTGATGAAATAAAAAGGAAATGGCTCAATAAAAATGGGGAGACTTTTATTAGACTGCAGAGCTTTGTAAAAGATACAAGAATTCAGAGCGATTTGAAACACTTAGTGGACTTCTGCCATACAGGAAGTCTTGAGGTTTTCCACAGCTATGTTCTAAAGTATCGTCCAAAACGGGTACACTTTTCATGGTTGGAATGGTGGCTAGGACCCAGTTGGCAGTTTTATCCCACAATGCCAATGTCGACAGAAGGCAAGCATCTATTCGGTCATCTAGAGAAGGCACTGGGCAATTGGGGGAATTAAGATTCAAACCTTACTACTCCAAAAGAACTAAATCATGGCAAACCAAAAAAAATATGATCAAACAACAAATGATCACATTTTCCCAATGGTTTCCGATGTTTTAAGACTTGCTTCTGGTGAAATGGAAGCTAATTGGGAGTAGTGATGCACCGAACGGTTGGCCGGCGAACATAGCGTGTTCGTGTCCGCCGCGGACGGCGAACACATGCACGGTTCGATCCGCCCCCTATTCGTCATCATTGAGTAAACTTTGACCCTGTACCTCACAGTCAGCAGACACATTCCAGCCAATTAGCAGCACACCCTCCCTAGCAGACCCTCCCACCTACTGGACAGCATCCATTTTAGATTCATTCTCAAGCTGCATGCTTAGTGAGAGGAGGGAAAGTGTAGCTGCTGTTGATTAGATAGGGAAATGCATAGCTAGGTTAGGGTATACAGTGTCCACTACAGTCCTGAAGGACTCATCTGATCTCTGCTGTAAGGACAGCACCCCAAAAAGCCCTTTTTAGGGCTAGAACATCAGTCTGCTTCTTTTTTTTTTTTCTGTGTAATGTAATTGCAGTTAGTTGTCTGACACTGCTGCCAGCTTCTGTGTCAGGCTCACAGTGGATACTGTGCCCAGTCAGTGCCACCACTCATATCTGGTGTCATAATAGCTTGCATTTAAAAACAAAAAACCTTTTTCACTGTTATAGATTGAATAGCAGTCAGTGTCCTTAAAGCGGGTGTGTCAGGCTCACAGTGGATACTGTGCCCATTTGCCCAGTGCCACGACTCATATCTGGTGTCACAATAGCTTAAGCTTGACATTTAAAAAGAAAAACATTTTTTTTTTCACTGTAATAGATTGAATAGCAGTTAGTTGTCTGCAAGCGTCTGGGTGTCAGGCCTCCTTCAGCGTGTGCTCTGCAGACCTCTGCCCGTGTACTTTGCCACTCATATCTGGTGTCACAATAGCGTGCATTTAAAACCAAAAAACTTTTTTCACTGTTATAGATTGAATTGCAGTTAGTTGTCTCAAAGCGGGTGTGTCAGGCTCACAGTGGATACTGTGCCCAGTTGCCACCACTCACTCACTGGTGTCACAATAGCTTGCATTTAAAAACAAAAAACTTTTTTCACTGTTATAGATTGAATTGCAGTTAGTTGTCTCAAAGCGGGTGTGTCAGCCCTACAGCGTGTACTCTGCCAACCTCTGCCAGTTCACAGTGCCACTCATATCTGGTGTCACAGTAGCTTGCACGCATAGTACCACTAATCGAAAAAAAAATGACAGGCAGAGGCAGGCCACCCCGCAGGGGCCGTCGTGGTCGTGGTGCTGTGATTCCCTTTTGCCCTAGAATAATGCCCAGTTTTCAGAGGCCAGGTACCCTGAACTTGAAAAGTTCTGAGGACATAGTTGACTGGCTAACACAGCACACCCAATCTTCTACAGCTTCCGCTCGGAACCTTGATGCAACATTCTCCTCCAGCTTAGCTTCGGGCACCTCTCAAGATACCACTCACCTGCCTGCCGCCACCACCAACACTAGCACCACAGCCGCTTCACTTGGTATGTCAGAGGAGTTATTTACACATCCGTTTGAAGAAATGAGTGATGCACAACCATTATTGACAGAGGATGTAGATAACAGGGATATGTCTCAATCAGGCAGCATTACACATGTACGGTGTGATGATGATGATGTTGTACCCACTGCTGCTTCCTTTGCTGAGTTGTCAGATACAAGTGAAGCGGTTGATGATGACGATGCGTCCATGGATGTCACGTGGGTGCCCGCTCGGCAAGAAGAAGAACAGGGCGAAAGTTCAGATGGGGAGACAGAGAGGAGGAGGAGACGAGTTGGAAGCAGGGGGAGGTCGTCGCAAGGAGCTAGTGGCACAGTCAGACAGCACGCATCGACACCCGGGGTCAGCCCGACAGCACGCCAATCAACGCATGCTGTGTCCACCACCAGAATGCCGTCATTGCAGAGCTCAGCAGTGTGGAATTTTTTTTGTGTGTCTGCCTCTGACAACAGCGATGCCATTTGCAACCTGTGCCAAAAGAAACTGAGTCGTGGGAAGTCCAACACCCACCTAGGTACAACTGCTTTGCGTAGGCACATGATCGCACATCACAAACGCCTATGGGATCAACACATGAGTACAAGCAGCACACAAACTCAAAGCCGCCATCCTCCTCCTGGTCCAGCATCTTCAGCCACGTCAACCACTGCTGTCCTCCTTGCCCCCTCTCAACCATCCGCCACTCCGTCTCTCGCCTTGAGCAGTTCCTACTCATCTGCCCACAGTCAGGTGTCTGTCAAGGACATGTTTGAGAGTAAGAAGCCAATGTCAGAAAGTCACCCCCTTGCCCGGCTTCTGACAGCTGGCTTGTCTGTACTATTAGCCCGCCAGCTTTTACCATACAAGCTGGTGGAGTCTGAGGCATTCAAAACATTTGTAGCTATTGGAACACCGCAGTGGAAGGTACCCGGACGAAATTTCTTTTCACAAAAGGCAATCCCCAACCTGTACTCGATTGTGCAAAAGGAAGAAATGGCATGTCTGGCACACAGTGTTGGGGCAAGGGTCCATCTTACCACTGATACCTGGTCTGCAAAGCATGGTCAGGGCAGGTATATCACCTACACTGCACATTGGGTAAACCTGCGGACGGCTGCCAAGCATGGCTCTGCAGAGGAGTTGGTGACACCGCCACGACTTGCAGGCAGGCCTGCTGCCACCCCCTCTACTCCTCCTACTCCATCCTCTTTCATAACCTCCTCGGCTGAGTCCTCTTCTGCTGCTGCGTCTTGCTCCACATCAACGGCACCCACCCCAGCTCCCCAGGTACTATTCCACATCCCGGATACGACAGTGTCACGCCATCTTGGGTTTGACTTGCTTGAAAGCAGAGAGTCACACCGCACAAGCACTCCTGTCCGCCCTGAATTCACAGGTGGAAAAGTGGCTGACTGCGCAGCAACTGGAGATCGGCAAAGTGGTTTGTGACAACGGAACAAATTTGTTGGCGGCATTGAAGTTGGGCAAGTTGACACATGTGCCGTGCATTGCACATGTGTGTAATCTGATCGTACAACGCTTTGTGCATAAGTACACAGGCTTACAGGACGTCCTGAAGCAGACCAGGAAGGTGTGTGGCCATTTCAGGCGTTCCTACACGGCCATGGCGCACTTTGCCGATATCCAGCGGCGAAACAACATGCCAGTGAGGCGCTTGATTTGCGACAGCCTGACACGTTGGAATTCAACACTCCTAATGTTCGACCGCCTGCTCCAACAAGAAAAAGCCGTTAATGAATATTTGTATGACCGGGGTGCTAGGACAGCCTCTGGGGAGCTGGGAATTTGTTTGCCACGTTACTGGACGCTTATGCGCAATGCCTGTAGGCTCATACGTCCTTTTGAGGAGGTGACAAACCTAGTAAGTCGCACCATCAGCGACATCATACCATTTGTTTTCTTCCTGGAGCGTGCCCTGCGAAGAGTGCTGGATCAGACCGTAGATGAGTGTGAAGAGTAAGAGTTGTGGTCACCATCACCACCAGAACCAGCCTTATCAGCATCGCTTGGTGGACCTGCGGCAACGCTGGAAGAGGATTGTGAGGAAGAGGAGTCAGAGGAGGAATGTGGCTTTGAGGAGGAGGCGGAAGACCAACCACATGTATGTAGGAGGCATCCCAGGGTGCTC